TTAAAAACAAGCTTCTGAACTAAATTAGAGTTCTACTGCATTTCAAAGTCCAGCAGTTGTATCAGCAAACAAAACATCAAAGGAAAGCAATAGGTCATTTCAGTCTCCTCTGAAGCAGCAACTAGAAATCCCTTTCTCAACAAGTAATCATATTACAGCCCCCTCCTGCTAAGCTCTAAGTAGGAAAGGGGGGGGTGCAATTAGGCAAGACGATGATGTCTCCCTCATCCTTTTGAGCTGGCAACTGACCACGCCCAGGGAGATTTTTTCATTTAGATGCTGCTTAAACATCTTTTGAAGCTCAGTGGGTTCCCCACCCCGAACTGAGGCCCTCTTAGTTTTCTTCATGTTCTGCATTTGCTCCTTTGCGTCTATAAAGTCTTTCCCAAATTCCTTTGGTTTCTGGATCATTCTTATCTGAAATCCATGTTCTTTTCCTTTTTTTCACGTGGCACTGGTCAGGGCTTCTTTTGCCTTGAATGCTGCACAGGGGACAAAGCTTAGAATGGAAACTGGGTTATTTAGTTGTACTAGTGTTTTCAATTACACCTCATGCAAAGTGTTTGCCTGCCAGGGTGATCTCAGACCCCATTGCATTACTATTGAGTCCATAGTTAATCTTAAAGCTCCCACAGCCTGTAAGAACAGATTTCATACAGGCACATTGAAAAAGAATATTTTACAGATAACATATGAGAATGAGGCAAGTGGGGGAAAGAGGAGGCAAACTCACTCTCAAATGTAAACTCACATCAAACTCATCTACCAAGCTGGACTAAAAAAGGAGGGATACATATCTCACAACAGAAGTGTCTTCGTGAACTCAAAATCATGAGTATTTAGTGAATCCTAAGAAAGTGGTAGACATTCTTAGTCTCTCTTTCTGCTTTAAAGCTGTGAGCATCTTTTTAAAATATTTGTATGTTTATATATTTTTAGAGACAGGGTCTCACTCTGTCACCCAGGCTAGAGTTCGGTGACACAGTCAGGGCTCACTGCAGCCTTGACCTCCTGGACTCAAATGATCCTCCCCCTTCAGCCTCCTGAGTAGCTGGGACTATAGGCACATGCCATCATGCCCAGCTAATCATTTTTACTTTTATTTTTATTTTGAGACAAAGTTTTGCTCTTGTTGCCCAGGCTGGAGTGCAATGGCGTGATCATGGCTCACTGCAACCTCTGCCTCCGGGATTCAAGCAGTTCTCCTGCCTCAGCCTCCGGAGTAGCTGGGATTATAGGCGCACACCACCATGGCTGGCTAATTTGTGTATTTTTAGTAGAGACGGGGTTTCACCATGCTCATCAGGCTGGTCTTGAACTCCCGACCTCAACCGATTTGCCCTCAACCTCCCAAAGTGCTGGGATTACAGGCGTGGGCTACCTCGCCTGGCCTCAGCTAGTTATTTTTAAAAAAATATTTATAGAGATGAGGTTTTACTCTGTTGCCCAGGCTGGTCTCAAACTCCTGGCCTCTAGTGACCCTCTCACCTCAGCCTCCCAAAGTGCTGAGATTTCAGACCTGAGCCACTGTACCTGGCTTAGACTGTAAACATCTTAATTTCCCAACACAGCCAAATTTTAGAGACTAAAACATAAGCTATATGTGTTATGCTTAGGTACTCTTTAAGATAAAGAGGTACCTTAGAATTCCTGATTCATTAAGGATAAATTATAATACACACAAAATAAATACATTTAAATTTAGCATGAGGGCACTCCAGAAATTTATCAGACTAGGACTAATGTCTAGATAAATGGGATAAAATTAAGAATGTGTTCGGAAATTGTATCCCAGGTCTTAGGAAAAAGCAGCTCCCAGAGAGATGTCTGTCCTCTGATTCTCATCATTCCACTTCTGCCAGAGCCTGTTAATACTGCAGTGAGGACAAGGCAGGAATGTTGCAGCTGTAGAGTCCGTTTGAATCTGAGACGGGTTGTCCACATTACGTAGGTGGCATGTAAATGTGTAGGTAGTGGCCATATGACCACGTGTACAGGGCAGCAGTATGGTGGGGGGCTTGAGTGTGGACCCGTAAGCCTTTGAACATCAGCCTCCTCCTTCTACTAGTTACTTGGCCACGGGCAAGCTGAACTTCAAATTCCTCTACCACAAACAGAAGAATAATTAGCTCATAGGGTTGTAGTGGTGATTAAATGAGATTATCCATGTAAAGTGCTTTAATACTGCGCATGGCCCACAGTAAGTAAATGTAGTACTTTATGGTTTATAAAGCACTTCTATATACACATACAGTCATTTAATATCTCCAAAAGCCTGTGAGGTAGGTTGTATTATTCCCATTTTATCAAGGAAGTGCCTGAGGTCAGACAGTCTCAGCTGTTTTCCCATTCACACAGAGAACAACACTGGTCTTCTGATCTTTTTATTTATTTATTTTTGAGACAGAATCTTCCTCTGTTGCCCAGGCTGGAGTGCAGTGGCACAGTCATGGCTCACTGCAGCCTCGACCTCCTGGGCTCAAGTGATCCTCCCACCTAAGTCTCCCAAGTAGCTGGGACTATAGGTGTGCACTGCCACGCCCAGCTGACTTTTTTATTTTTTGTAGAGATGGGGGTCTCACTATGTTGCCCAAGCTAGTCTCAGCTCTTGGGCTCAAGTGATCCTCCTGCCTCAGCCTCCCAAAGTGCTGGGATGACAGGGTGAGCCACCGTGCATGGCCGAGTCTTCAGATCCTGACATCGTGCTCTTCCTTTATGGCCCTCCCTTTAAGCACCAGGTGAGCAAGCTATTTATTTTAGGTGTTCTAGTGTCCCAGAGAATATTAGAGCTAAAACTTTCTTCAATCAGATTTAGCATAATGAGTAAAGCAGAGACTTCTGAGTCAAGCATACCTGGGTTCAAATCCCAGCTCTGCCAGTTTCGAGTTGGGCCACTTTCATCAAGTTATCCCTCACTCCCTGTACCTACTTCCTCCTTCATAATGTGGCACAGATGTTTCCTCAAGTCAGTATGTGCACTTTGAAGGAAAGCAGTTAACACAGTCCCTTTATATATCCTATTCAAGGCTCTGTCAAATTTAGTCACTTACTAGCTAAAAGTTTATTCAGTGAGGGGTATATTTAGTGTGCTAAAGCTATATCAATTCTTAATAACTGGTATGATACAATGACATAAAATAATCATATTTGTAAAAAAAACATCATTACATTGCTTTAGCTTAAAATACAGTGTGCTAAGGCTAGAACGTGTATATTTTATTTTATTTATTTACTCATTTTTTGGGGACAGAGTTTCACTTTTGTTGCACAAGCTGGAGTGCAATGGCACCATCTCAGCTCACTGCAACCTCCACCACCCGGGTTCAAGCAATTCTCCTGCCTCAGCCTCCTGAGTAGCTGGGATTACAGGTGCCCACCACTACGCCTGGCTAACTTTTGTATTTTTAGTAGAGATGGAGTTTCACCATGTTGGCCAGGCTGGTCTCGAACTCTTGACCTCAAGTGATCTGCCCGCCTTAGCCTCCCAAAAATGCTAGGATTACAGGCGTGAGAAACTGTGCCTGGCCTAAGAATGTGTGTATTTTATAAAGTATTTGGAGGGGTTGTGTTTGGATGGCAACGCCATCCAGCGAATTCAATAATTTAGTGCCAGTTGTCACAATTGTTCTTTGGTGTCACGGACTGAGCCAAACAGAGGTGAAATTTTCAATGTGCTCATCATACGGACCATGGCTTTGCTGCTTAGTAACACCTAAACTTTTTATTCGCTGGTCTAAACAAGTCTCTGCAGTTTGATGTTTGTAGCTCATGATTATCAGATGCACTTTTTATTAGTTTACACAATAAGGGTCACTTAAATGAAAGAGATTTATTTCTCTCTTGTACAGCTCAAGTTCACATGGCTACTTAGATATTTCCAGGGTGCCAAGATCCTCAGTATTATCGCCCCAGGCCTCCCAGGTGGTTTGCCCTTGTCTACGTGGTCTGAGCTGGCTTACTACCACAGGCATCTTACCCAGCAGGAAGGGAAACTACTTAAAGACGACTTCAAATTCTCTCAGCCCCACCTAACTACTCCTGTGATGATCAGATCTGTGCAGACTTTGCCAGTTTGCACAATTGCACCCTGTTAGTACCTCACTTTGGCCCGTGCCCCAAGCCTCTCAATTTCCATTCTGGGGCTTCTAGACATCACAGCAGTGTAGACTTAACACCTTGATCAATGGCAGACTAGTATCAGTGGACATTTCCCCCTTGTGTCTTCCTGTCAGAAGGTCCTGTGGGATTGAGCACCAGTCACCCATAAGAGTGTCCAACTTAGTACCTCTTTCTTGCATTGACCTCCGCTCTTTCTTGCCACCCTCTCTATCCCTCAGCCTTGCTCCCTGAGATCACTTCCCAAATAAACCTGCAGTTGAGTTTTAGGTTTAGATTCTAGTCTCAGGGGGACCTTGGCCAAGACAGGGGAGTGCACAAGCCTTTTATGTACCAAAAGTTGTCTTCATCCTTTCTGCTCACATTCCACCGGACACACGAAGCTGCAATGGGGGCTGAGCGATGGATGTTTTATTCTGGAAAGACTTGCTCTCAGTTTAAAAGTTCATTACTGTGGATGAAGTCTCTGTGCATGCTTCATAAAATTTGAATTTGCACAACTAAATGCATCATGGATAGGCTAGAGGTTATGACCACTGAACTAAGAGACCTGAGTTTTCATCCACACTCTTCCACCCATTTTCCAGGTGAACTTAGGCAAGTTGCTAAGTCTTCTGAGCTGGTACTTCCTCATTTGTAATTGGTGATAATCATCACTTCTTTCTCTGAGTGACTGTGAGGAAAATTACATTGCACATGGGAAAATGCTTTGAAAGTTTTAAAATATGATGTATTAGGTTGGTGCAAAAGTAATTGCGGTTTTCTGCCATTACTTTTAATTTCTTTTGCACCAACTTAGTAAATATAGGTTAGATCTAGTATGAAAACAATAAACCAGTTGTAGAACATTCGATTCCATTGTGTTACTGTATTACTGGTTACACCTACAGAGCACGATCCAGTTTATCCATAGGTGGATGAGATTGCCCAGCTCACCATCCCGAGAAGCAACCATCAGCACCAGGTAAGCATTTTCCAACTTAGAAGGTTTCATTGCGTGGGTCTCTTGCACATCATCTCTCATCATTTCATCATTGTTTTCCAAAAGGTTATCCACCTCTGGAATTTATCCTTTTAAAAATAATCATAAAGAGAATAAAGGGAGAAAAAAGTTGCCCATGGTACTCATTATGTGAGCCCAAGGGACGAAACAGCATTCTCTCTCCCCATTAATAACCTAAACTTTCAAACATGTAGCCGTGGTTAAGGATTCCTTCTGGACTATTTTAAGGAGCAAATTTATTAGTTCTATAGCATCTCGTAATCCTGAGGTATTTAGGAAAACTACATTCTTTGGATTCTGAAACCCTGGCTGTTTCCCCAAGCTACTTCAAACAATGCAGCTTTTGCTGACGGGGCATTCCATGGGCCAGCAGTGTTGTTGAATTGTAAGTAAATAATCTTGAAACAAATCCATGGTTGACACACTGTCATATTATGCTTACTGCTCCAGAGGAGGGATTTATTCTGAAGATATTGAAAAATTCCATTGCTGTTTGGGGGAAGCGACAATTGGGATCACCCATAAATTAGAGTAATTGCCCTCTGTTCTGTACCATAGATATGATCCAAAACATTGTGCATGTACTGTATCATATGTGAAATAGAACAGTGCTGGATAAAAATGTACAATATTACTAAATAAAAACAGATACCATGGATATGACAGAAGTTTAAATCGCCAAGTTTGGCTACAGCTAGCTTTGTTCTTCTTGAGCATGGGAGCTCAAAACTAGAGGAGAAAAATGAACCAGTCCAACCACATCCTCCTTTTTAGCATAGGTTTCTTGATGAATTTTTAAAATGATTAATATTTAATTTTATTTTTTGAGATGGAGTCTCCCTCTCTTACACAGGCTGGAATGCAGTGGTGCAATCTCGGCTCACTGCAACCTCTGCCTCCCAGGTTCAAGCTATTCTCTTGCCTCAGCCTTTTGAGTAGCTAGGATTACAGGCATGTACCACCATACCTGGCTAATTTTTTGTATTTTTCGTAGAGACGGCATTTCACCATGTTGGCCAGTTTGGTCTTGAACTCCTGACCTCAAGTAAGGAGTTCAGCCTCCCAAAGTGAACTCCTCAGCCTCCGTGCCTCAGCCTCCCAAAGTGCTGGGATTACAGGCATGAACCACCGTGCCCAACCTAATGTTTAATGAACCAGATCTCTTTTTTCCCTGTAAGAAGGGGACTGGTATTATAGCTTTCTAAAACTCAGTACCTTCTCTCTTCTCTCCTTTTCCCTCCACCCTGGCTCACTTAGGGGTTGATGTGACTTTGCCTCTGGTGGAGGTTGGTGAAAGCGGTCATTTAATATGAAGGAGGAACCAACACACAGGGGAGGAGGGCATCAACTGCAGTCCTTTATTTCAGCAAAACTTGTCTAGGCTAACTTCATCTAAATCACAGCAACACATAATTATGGAAAATCGAAAAGAACAAAAACCAGGATCAAACTGCAACATCCTATTGCAAACATAATCGCCTTCCTCTGATACTTTCTACAATCATTGAAATAGCAAATGTATGCTTTTTGAGACCATTTTTCTATGTATAATGGTGGCCACAGAGATAGGCGATTGTGATTGGAAGAGAACATTTTCTTTCATTTTCTGGCTCTAATGAGTACCTCCTAACATAGAGCTGAAAACTCATCTTCGGATTCCTCTACAAGAGGCTCCAATATTTAGCAGAGGAACAGTTCAGCAGGGTGGAAAGAGCCAGCCATGTTGCAAATACTTATAGCCCCGAGGACGATGCTGTGTAGCAGAGGACGAACAGCTCTGCTCGGCCTGCGGAGTCAGGGAGACGCCTCCCTGGAGGAGGAGGACACACTTGAGCCCATTCTGGTAAAATGACTATGAACTGCCCAAGAGAACAAGGGGTAGGGAGGAGCAGAAGGCTTTTATGCAGAGGGAAGATTGCACATAGAAAGGAGTAGGAACCAGAAGGGGGGCACGTTCCGAACTGCAGGGGTCGACTTGGTTAGGCATAGGAGGTGAGCCTGTGAACTTGGAGGGTGGAAGTTGGGGGTGGCCTGAGTCCTGTGAAGGGCTGATGGGTACTCAGGTATGGTGGGAACTGGGTTGGCAGCTGCAAGCCATGGAAGTCCAGAGTCAGAGTCTTCAAAGGGCAGTCAGAGTCTCAGAGTCTTGGAGTCGGTCTTAGAAGGGGAGAGTCTGGTGATGGGGCTTCCTCTGTCATAGACCACCCAAGTCAGGTGGCTGATAGCCAGTGTGGCACTACAGGATGGCCACAGCGTCCTGTTTGTGGGCTTCCTCTGGCCAGCCCAAGGGCTCAGGGCCACAGCACTGCTCTGAAGTTTTGCAGCAACAGCAGCAGCAGTGGGATGGACTCATACATAGCTCTAGAGCTGTCCATGCTGGCCTTCCAGATCCCACTTCCTCCCCCGCCTCCCATGCCAGCCTGGCTGGGTCTTTCGTGTTCTCATGCTTGCACATTTTATGTGTTCTGGCCAACTAGACTCTTTCCTGCATGTAAAAAGCTGGCGAGTCCCCCTTCATTTTGTTCCCCTTTCTTTTTTAATCTCCTCTGTTTTATGCTTTATAGCAGGGAATGCTTAGCATTCAGATAATCCATAAATATCTTCACTTGTTCCAGTTATCTTCTGGTGAGGGTTCTCAACCCTTGTCCCCTCTTACCCCTCCTCCTCACACATACACAATAGGAGGGAGAAGAGTACAAATGAACCCAGCTTCAGCAGTGACCAACTCGCGGTTGATACGTTGCATCATTATCTACCCCTGTCAGATTATTTGGAAGCAATTCCCAGATATTTCATCTCCAAGTATTTCAGTGTATGGGAACATGAAATGATTGAGTCACATGCCAATTTGAAGTCTTTCCCATGGTCATACATGAAAGTATCATTTTTCCGTTCATGTCATCAAGGTGTTTTGTTCTCAGCAATTTATTGGAAGATCCTTGCCACTTTAGAAATGCATTCTAGGCCAGACACAGTGGCTCACACCTGTAATCCCAGCACTTTGGGAGGCTGAAGTGGGTGGATCACTTGAGGTCAGGAGTTCGAGACCAGCCTGGCCAACATCTCTACTAAAAACTCCGTCTCTACTAGAAATACAAAAATTAGCTGATGTGGTGGCACATGCCAGTAATCTGAGCTACTTGGAAGGCTGAGGCAGAAGAATCGCTTGAACCCGGGAGGCAGAGGCTGCAGTGAGCCAAGATCATGCCACTGTACTCCAGCCTGGGCAATAGAGTAAGACTCTGTTTTTAAAAAAATGCATTCTATGTGCAGAATGTGTATATAATCAATACTCTCAGAACTAAAAATATTTGAATAATATTTGAACAAACACCTATATAACTATGATTGAGCTCAAAGGAGAGAGAGTGAGAGAGAGAATATTACCAGTATCTTTGAAGTCCATGTTTGCCTCCTCCCTCTCCCCACTCCAGTTACCCTCTATTCTGAAATTTGGGCTAAGCATTTCCCTCATACGTGTGTGCACGCGCACGCAAGCACATTTATAAGTTTGGTGCTCTAAACAATATATTGTTCAGTTTTCCTGTTTGTGAGCTTTGTATATAAATAGAATTACACTGAAATCGCCTTCTGTGACTCTTTTCCACTTCAACATCATGTTTTCAAGCTTCATCCACATTGAGGCATATCTAGCTGTGGGTTATAGTATTCCATGATATGAATCCACTGCTGCTTATTTCTCCATTCAATCATTGATTGGCATTTAGGTTGTTTTTAGTATTTCCCCCCAACCTCCCAAATCCTCCTAAGAATATTATTTTACTTGTCTTCCGGACATATGTACAAGAATTTTCCCAAGAGTGGGACTGCTGTGTATATACACTCATCTTTACTAGGCGATGCAAAATTGTTTTCTCAAGTAATGTGTAATTTTACACTCACATTAGCTGTATATAACAGTTCCCACCAATACTTGGTCTTATCTGACTTTCAAATTTTCACTCTTTGGTAGATTTAATATACTTTTCTTGAATAATGAGAGTAAACATCTTTCCATATGTTTACAGGCCATTCATGTTTCTCTTCTATGGATGTCTGTGTTTTTGCATTTTTCTATTTTTATCTTTTTCTTGATGATTCATGGGAATCCTTTACATATTTTGGATATTAAAACCTTAGTGCACAGGATGTCTGCAGAAAAGGCTGCCAACAATTCCTCTCATCCCTGCAGGTGCGCGCCACCTGCCGCCTTTCATCATGAGGTGGGGTTATCGCACCTCCTCTTGGATTGGAGGTGGCCCTGTGTGTTGCTTTGATCAATAGAATATGGCAGTGATGCTGCGTTAGCTCCAGGCCAAAGCCTTAGAGGCCTTATGGTTTCCATTTCACCATCTTGGAAGTTAGCGGCTGTGTGAAAAGCTTCAGCTATCCTGATGAAGAGAGAGGCCATGCAGAGAGACTCTCCACAGGATGAGACATGGTATACAGAGAAAGAGAGGCCCAGGCAGCCACTACTCATTCAACTGCCTCAGCTGATTCTCTATCCATACAGATGAAACTGTCTTGGAAGCCTCAGCCAAGCTGCCAGCTGAATGCACCTATGATCTCCACTAATGCCCCAGGAAAGAGAAAAACTGCTCATTGAGCTCAGCCCAAATTCCTGATTCAGAGACTCACAGGTAATAAAATAGTTATTGTTTCCAGCTAGAAAATTTGTAGTTATACAACAATACAGAATAGAAACAATTCATCAAATGTGCTCTAAAAATCTTGTTTCAAGGCATACCTTTTTTGCTGTCTTTATAATACAGAAGGCCGCCCTTATCCACTGTTTCACTTTCTGAGATTTGTTACCTGTGGTCAATCGAGGCCCAAAAATATTTCAGTATTTTGAGAAAGAAAGAGAGCTAGAGACCACATTCATATAACTTTTATTACAGTATAATTGTTATATTATTCTTGTTAATCTCTTACTGTGCCTCATTTATAAATTAAACTTTATTATAAGTTTGTAAGTATAGGAACAACTATACATACTATATATAGGATTGGGGACTATCTGTGGTGGCATCTACTGGGGGTCTTGGAGTGTCTCCCCAAGAGATAAGAGGGGACCACTATATCTTGACTATCACAAATTGTAACATATACAAGCGGTCCCCAACCTTTTTGGCACCAGGGATCGGTTTTGTGGAAGACAATTTTTCCATTGACAGGCGGGGTGAGGTGGGGGGTGGTTTTGGGATGATTTAAGCACATTACATTTATTCCACACTTTTATTTGTATTATTATTACTTACTCGCCATAATGTAGAATCAGTGGGAACCCTGAGCTTATTTTCCTGCAACTAGACAGCCCCATCTGGGAGTGAAGGGAGACAGTGACAGATCATCAGGCATTAGATTCTCACAAGGCGCATGCAACCTAGATCCCTTGCATGCACGGTTCACATGGGGTTTGAGCTCCTATGAGAATCAAATGTCCGGGCTGATCTGACAGGAGGCAGAGTTCAGGTGGTCAAGCTCACTCGCCCACCACTCACCTCCTGATGTGCAGCTGGGTTCCTGACAGGCCACGGACAGGTACCGGTTTGTGTCCTGGGGGTTGGGAACCCCTGATTTATACTGTAGTTGAATTCTTCAATATTTTATAGTTAGTGATTTTTATATCTTATTTGAGAAATCTCTCCCTACTTTAAGGTACTGCATACTAAAAGTTTAAAAGTTTTGCCTTTCACGTTGAAGCTCCTTAATCTGTCTTGAATTGATAAATTCCTTAATTTACCTTGAATAGTGTAAGGTAGGGACACATTTTCATCTTTTTAAATATGGATCATTGCTTCAGCACCACAGATTGAACGGTCTCATCAGTTTTCCATGTATGCTGGGTCTGTGGCTGCTCCATTGATTCGGTTTGTCTGTCCCTACACGATGACTGCATCATTTAAATTAATACAGTAGCTATAGAATAATAAGTCTTGATACCTGGTAAGCACATCCTTCTCTTTTATTTTGCATGTCTTTGCTGTATTATTGACTTTTTGGTCTTCCTTATAAATTTTGGAATCATCTTGTCAAATTTCATGATAGACCCTTTTTGAGATTTTGATTGGGTTTACATTGAATCCATAAATCATTGGGGTAGGGGCATTTGTGACTTTAATTATTGAGTCTTTATCTATAAACATGTCATCTTTCCAGTCTTAAAAAAGTTTGGGCTGGGTGTGGTGGCTCATATAATCCCAGCACTTTGGGAGGCCAAGGTGGGTGAATGACCTGAGGTCAGGAATTCGAGACCAGCCTGGCCAACATGGTGAAATCCCATCTCTACTAAAAATACAAAAATTAGCCAGGCGTGGTCGCTGGCACCCAGCTACTCAGGAGGCTGAGGCAGGAGAATCGCTTGAACCCGGAGACAAAGGTTGCAGTGAGCCAAGACCACGCCATTGCACTCCAGCCTGGGTGACAAGAAACTCTGTCTCAAAAAAAAAAAAAAGTTTTCTTTAATGCCTTCTTTAAAAAGTTTTATAATTTTTTTTTTTTTTTTGAGACGGAGTCTCACTCTGTTACCCAGGCTGGACTGCAGTGGCCAGATCTCAGCTCACTGCAACCTCCGCCTCCCGGGTTCACGCCATTCTCCTGCCTCAGCCTCCTGAGTAGCTGGGACTACAGGCGCCCGCCACCTCGCCTGGCTAGATTTTTGTATTTTTTAGTAGAGACGGGGTTTCACCGTGTTAGCCAGGATGGTCTCGATCTCCTGACCTCGTGATCCGCCCGTCTCGGCCTCCCAAAGTGCTGGGATTACAGGCTTGAGCCACCGCGCCCGGCCTATAATTTTTACATATAAGTCTTGTACATCTTTTGTTGGACTTACTCCTAGGTATTTTATATTTTTATTGCTAGTATTAAATTATTAATAAAATGTTTTTATTAATTCAATATTCTAATTGAGTAGCTGGTGAAGAGAAAGGCAATTAACCTGGTATATTGATTTAGTATTTGGAAATTTTACTAATCTTATTTTAATTCTAATAATGTGTAAGCTTCTTTGGGTCTTCCATGTGAACAAGTCTATCATCACTGAATGGTAGCTTCGTTTTACCCTTTCCAACCCTATTAATTTTCCAAAAACTTTAATGTGCTGCCTGGGACCAGTTTTAGCATTAAGGTTAAGCTGGTGTCATAATATGAATTAGGGATTTATAATTTGAAAATATTGTAAAGCTTGAAGTTATTTAACCCTTAGATGTCTGGTAATATTTAACAACAAAACAATGGGTCTCATATTTTCTTTAAGGAAAGATTTGGAATTATTTCAATTTCTTTTATGAATTCTATTTCTTTAATTTTTTTTTGATTCAGTTTCTTTAACGCATATGAACCATTATGATTTTCTGTTTCTTCTTGTATCAGTTTTTGTAATGTATAGTTTTCTAGGAAATTACATATTTCATTTATGATTTTGAAATTTATTGGCATAAAGTTGTATATAATATTATTTACTATTGTACATTTCTGCTATAATTACAGTTATGTCTTCTTTTCTATTTCTAATATAATTTATGGATACCTTATCTTGTTTTCTTGATCAGTCTTGCCAGAGATTTGACAATTTTATTCGTTTTTTGAGATAACCAATTTCTGGCTTTGTTGGTCCTCTTTATTAAAGCTTTTTCCCCCATTAATTTCTGATCTCTTTATTATTTTCCTCCTTTTGCTTTCTTTTTTATCCCCATTACTCTTCTTAACTTCTTAAGCAGCATGTTTAGTTCACAGAATTTCAGCCTTTATTCTTTACCACTATAAGCATTTATGGCTAGCAAATTTTCAAGTATTTGAATATGTAATAGTTAATAATAAGTATTAATATCTAATAATCTAAAACACTTATTAATATTAAACAACCTTTGTTCTCACTTTACTGAGACATTAAATACTTCTTCATATTTTAAAATCTTGGTTTAACAGTTTAACCCTCAAAGGGTTTGGTTCTCAGTTCAGTTTATTTCTATATACTTGATTTTAATGGCTATGATAACAGAAAAAGATACCTCACAAAAAAAAATATATATACAAAACTGAAAGATGTGAGTTGTTGGGTACAGTTACAAATAATTGTGTGTGTGTGTATGTGTGTGTATATATATACACACATATATATATACTTTTTTTTTTTTTTTTTTAGTGCCAAGCACCAACTATACAAAGGATTTTGCTAAAATTTGGTTAGAAAATTTTCACCTAGGGCCCGGGCGCGGTGGCTCATGCCTGTAATCCCAGCACCTTGGGAAGCTGAAGCGGGCGGATCACAAGGTCAGGAGATAGAGACCATCCTGGCTAACATGGTGAAACCCCGTCTCTGCTAAGAACACACAAAAAAATTAGACGGGTGTGGTGGCGGGCGCCTGTAGTCCCAGCTACTCGGGAGGCTGAGGCAGGAGAATGGCGTGAACCTGGGAGGCGGAGCTTGCAATAAGCTGAGATCGCGCCACTGCACTCCAGCCTGGGCGACAGACTCCGCCTCAAAAAAAAAAAAAAAGAAAGAAAAAAGAAAAAAAGAAAATTTTCAGATTCCCTCATCGGAGGATGCTGCTTTTTTACGTTTTTGACAAATGGTTCAAAGTACGCTGACATTCTCCATTTTGAAGAGTTGAAAAATAATCTTTTTTCAAGTCTAAGTAGGCAGATACAAGTGTTTTAATAGGTGAGGCACATCTTTCAGGCAAGAAAGTTACATAATAATGAAAAGATTTCTTTTTTTTTTTTTTTTTTAGACGAGTTCCTCTGTCGCCAGGCTGAGTCATGCCATCTTGCTCACTCAGCTCCGCCTCCCGTCTACCCTTCTCCCCTCAGCCTCCGATAGCTGGACTACAGCGCCCGCCACCTCACCCGCAGTTTTTATTTTAGTAGAACGGTTCACCATACCACTGTCTCACTCCTACCTTGACCCCGCTCGCCTCCCAATGCGGATACAGCTTACCACCCCCCCCTAGATTCTTAACATACTCTGCAGGGATCATCTAGTCTCCAGTTTCTTATCTTTGACATAAGTCGTTTTACTGAGTTTCAGTTTAGCTGATACCTCGTAGTGCCTGATGGGTATTTTATTCCATTTACTCTTAGTGAAAATTTTTTATGTCAAAGATTTAGACAATGGATCATTTGAACACATTTATTGTTATTTATTATTATTGTATATTTGAAATACACAGGCAGGAGGGAAAATTGATAACCTGAACATCTACCATCCCTTTATTTTTGACCCAGGTGGCATTAGCGTTCACTGACATCCCTAGGTAACTGAGTTTTTTATCGTGACCTCAATGTGCGGTACACACAGTACATAGTAGGTGCTCAATAGGTACTATTTGAATGAATGAATGAACAAATGAACGACCTAATTGTTTTGACTTCCATAGATGGTGATCTGACATGTGGGACCACTTCTTATTTATCTTTGTATCCCAAGTGTCTAGTATAATGTTTGTACATAGTAGGTATTAAATGTTTTTGGAAAAAAAGACTATAGGGGAGAAGAAAAGGAGAAAAGAGGAGAGGGAATAATTCTGTGTGTTCTTATCTAGCTGTCTAAGTTAAAAAGAATACTTAGTGGGTTTCACTTTGACCTTATTTAAAGCCTTTTCAGTGCTCATTTTGAACAAGAGCAGTCAGAAAAGAGTCCAGAGATAGTAACTACCTCTCCATATGTGAAAATGTTTTCCCAAGGGATAGAGGAAATAGAGAATTCTATTTTCGTAAATTCTCAAGGCTACTTCTAATTGCCTATGGATTAGAAAAAAATCCTTTGTCTTTGATTTTTGTTTTGTTTTGTTTTGTTTTTCGACTGAGTCTCGCTGTTGTCAGCCTGGGCTGGAGTGCAATGGTGCGATCTCGGCTCACTGCAACCTCCGCCCTCCGGGTTCCAGCAATTCTCCTGCCTCAGCCTCCCGAGTAGCTGAGATTACAGGCACCTGCCACCATGCCCAGCTAATTTTTGCATTTTTAGTAGAAACAGGGTTTCACTATGTTGGCCAGGCTGGTCTTGAACTCCTGACCTCAGGTGATCCACCTGCCTCGGCCTCCCAAAGTGCCGGGATTACACGTGTGAGCCACCATGCCCTCCAGATGTTATTCTTTAACCATCTTTTAAAAGATAAAAAGCCATCAGAGGTCTGTGGCTGAATTGCATTCCTCCTACCTGAACCCCAGAAGTCTGTGGTGGGTTAGGATATAATAATAATTTAATTTACTCAGAGGTGAAAGTGAATAAAGCATAGCAAATAGATGGCTGTTAATATTGCATGCTGCATTTAAAAAATTTTTTAAAATTATTTTTTAAATGTTTGTGGATACATGGTGTATATATTTATGGGGTATGTGAGATGTTTTGATACAGGCGTGCAGTGTGAAACAAGCACATCATGGGGAATGGGGCATCCATCCCCTCACGCATTTATCCTTTGAGTTACAAGCAATCCAGTGACATTCTTTAAGTTATTTAAAAATATACAATTAAGACTGCGCTGCATGTTTATATGTGGGATACACATCCTCATGCTGATACTTTGCCTCATGCCAGGTTGTTTAATCAATGGCTTTGACAGAGTTACACAGTTACCTGCAGTGAGACTCCAGTAATACTTTTAGAAACCAACCCACCATGAGCTCTTGCTGTGAAGGTATTTAAATAATTAAAAACATTCCTTTATCAAAGGAGTCTCCTTCTGACAGTGGAATCCATAACTTTTGCAGTTTTTCAAAACATTTAGATCAAAGAGATGGTTGTGTTTTGTGCAGCACCATCAATTTTTTTTTTTAATGAGACCAAACTTTGTTCAAAGCTTCATGGGTTCAGAATCTTAATAATTTTAGATTTGGGTACCCAGCTTCGCATGAGGATATGTAAAGTCTTCTTCCAAGAGAAATGAATGCTATAACTGTGCTACATAAGGAGATGTTCATATTTATTTCTTTGGATCTTGACAGGCTGTTTTTGTTTACACAGGAAGTTGCAGCAGTTGGTTTCAGGCTGAAATCTCTGAAGATCAGTGAGGAGGGAAACAGAAGGGCCTGAATGTGCGTGTGCACGTGCGTGCACACACACACACACACACACACACACGATCATCAGGTCTTACTCATTGTGGAGGAAACACAAACAACCTCGAGAAAGGCCCTGAGATTTAAGATGGGACACATCTGGAGGGGAAGGTCAAGAGAAGACATGACACCCAAGTTGGGGAAATACCAGTCTCTGAGCATCATTTTATTATTAAAAAGTTTTTTTAGTGACAGCCCTCTACAACAGCAATAGCTTCTGAGATTCAAGCTATTGAAATTCACCTAGACAGGTCCAGATGTTCCGAAGCGCTTTCAGAAGGAAAGGGCCTGCTGTGGGGTTTAGAGACGCTACTGATGAGATTAACATGCCTCCAGAGATGTGAGAAGGAGCAGGCATCATCTTGTTAACGTCTTGTGGCTGGATTGTCACTCATGGTGAGAACTGGATGATATGGAGAATAAGGAGTGTTGTCACGGTAACAGAAAAAAGGAGGTCACCAGGGAACCCGGAGAAGGAAGCCTCTGTCCAGCACACCAAGGAACTCCAATTTGAGTGGGAAATTGTTCCTGCCCAGGGCAAAATATCCAACTGGATGAAGATCTCAACTCTTTGCATTCTAATCTTCCATTCTCCAACCAAAACTTATAAGGAAAGGCATGTCCTGGCCAGTGGGCCAAGTATTCCCCTCTCCACTGCAAGCACATCAGCGCGTAAGTCAATTTTCTCAAGTTTGGGCATTCCCCCAACTCCAGTACCTCTGAGTGAACTGATCAGAGCACATTTTGAACCCAAAGATATAACCTGAGGCCCAGCTTCTAGGCCTCAGTGACTCTATGACCTCAGCTGTTCATAAGGCCCCAGCTGACCTGAAGGGATGCTGGGTCTGACTCCTGCCACTTTGAATGCCTGGGGAGGGACTAAGGTCCCATAGTATAAAGCCCCCTAGGTTGCTTCAGTTAGCAATCAGTTGTCCACTTTGTGCGTTTTCTGACCTTGCATTTCAGCTTTCGGCCTTGGGACCATAGACGCCCCACCTTCGTTAGTCTGAATTCCTGCTCACCTTTATGGGGCACTGTACCGTCTGTGAAGCTTTTCACATTCATGATCTCATTTGACCAAAATAACAAGCTTGAGCAGTAGGTAGTATTACTGTCCCCATTTCACGGATGAGAAAAATGAGGCTCAGAGAAGCAAGGTGACTTATGCATGATCACGTACTTGTACCCAGACATTCTGGCTTGATTTCTATATGGCATATTAGTCATATCCTTAAATCACTGATACACAAACAATTTTTAGCCTCATATTGCTGTGAAAATGTTTCCGTATTCCAAACATAGGTATATTTATTCATCTATGAATTGTAAAATCGATGACAATGTTAGTGTATTGAGTGCATTATAGAAGATACAATAAAACATGTTTTAAACAGATAAGAATGAAATAAATGATGTTTTAAAGATAACTCTATTAATTAAAAAATTATTTTTGCTTTTGCTTCAATTATAAGTAATGTTAATTTTTAGGGATGTGATAGTTAAAATGTCAGTGTTTATGAAAATCTTGGTTTAACACTTTGTGATGTAATGATTTTCAAGTTTTGTCCTCAATTTATTTTGATTTTTTTAACTTTTTTTTTTTTTTTTTTTTCCGAGACAGAGTCTCACTCCGTCACCCAGGCTGGAGTGCAGGGGCACAATTTCGTCTCACTGCAACCTCTGCCTCCCAGGTTCAAGCGATTCTCCTGCCTCAGCCTCCTGAGTAGCTGGGATTATAGCTGCCACCACGCTCTGCTAATTTTTGTATTTTTAGTAGAGATGTGGTTTCACCATATTGGCCAGGCTGGTCTCGAACTCCTGACCTCAAGTGACCTGCCTGCCTTGGCCTCCCAAACTGCTAGGTTTACATGCAAGAGTCTCCACGCCCAGCCTAAAAATAATCTTTTTATTTTGGAATAATTTTAGATTTATAAAAAGTTATAGGCTGGGCGCAGTGGCTTATGCTACTGGCCTGCCAGAGTGCTGTAATCCCAGCACTCTGGCAGGCCGAAGTAGGAGGATCACTTGAGTCTAAGAGTTCAAGACCAGCCTGGGCAACATGTCCAGACTCTGTCTCTACCAAAAAAAATAAAAAAAATTGCCAAGCATGGTGGCACATGCCTGTAGTCCCAACTATGTGGAAGGCTAAGGTGGGAAGATGGCTTCAGCCCAGGAGGTCGAGGCTGCAATGAGCCGTGTTCATGCCACTGCACCCCAGTCTGGGTAACAGAGCAAGATCCTGTCTTGAAAAAACAAAGAACTTGTAAAGATAGTACAGACTTGTGTATATACCACTCCCCTCGTTTCTCCATTGTTAACACCTTACATGGTACATTTGTCAAAACTTAAGAAACTGGCATTGCTGCATTATTTTCAGCTAAACTCCAGACTTATTTGGATTTCATCACTTTGTCATTAATGTCCTCTTTCTGTTCCAGGAACTTACCAAGGGTCCTCAATTGCATTTAGCTGTCATCTCTCCTCAGTCTGCTCTGGTCTGTAAGTTTCTCAGTCTTTCCTTGTTATTTATGACTTTGGCAGTCTTGAGAAATATTAACCAAATATCCTGTAAAATGCCCTTCAATCTGTGTTTGTCTGATTTTTTCTCATGATTATGGTTATTTTTAATAATTTTTAAAGAACATTTAAAGAATTTCTATTTAAAGAATAGCACAGAGGTCAAGTGCCCCTCCCACTATGTCATATCGGGGGTACGTGATAGCCATATGCTGTCATAGAGGATGTTAGCTGTCACTTGGTTAAGATATTATTTGTCAGGCTTCTTCACTGAGGAGCTGCTGTTTTCCCCTTTTGCTACCCTATTGTTTGGAAGCAAGTCACTATGTGCAGCCCACTTTCATGGCAGGGGACAGGGAGTTGAGAATTAAGTTCTACCCCCTAGAAAAGGAGTATCTACATACATTGTTCGGAATTCTGTAAAGGTTTGTCTCTCCCTTTTTAAAATTTATTTATCCAATCATTGACTCATGAATATTTATTTTATAATTTGGGTTATAATCCTATACTACATTATTTATTTTTTTGCTCAAAAATTACTAGCTTTGGCCATTGTAAATCCTTTTATTTTTAAAATTTATTTATTTATTTGTTTATTTGCGTTCATGAGATCCCTTCCTTGAATCTGAGTTGAGATTTTGTTTTTCTATAGGTTTTTGGGGAACAGGTGGTCTTTGGTTACATGAGTAAGTTCTTTAGTGGTGATTTGTGAGATTTTGGTGCACCCGTCAACTGAGCAGCATACACTGCACCCAATTTGTAGTCTTTTATCCCTCACTCATTTCCCACCCTTTCCCTCTGAATACACCTGCATCCCTGGCCATTGTGAATTCTTTCAGATTGGCTCCTGTGTCCCTTTGACTTGCTACCATCCTTTTGTGGTTTTGGGGGACAGTTTCATGCTTTCAGGCATTACACGATGTTCCTGGTTCATCTTATATTTTCTTTGCCCCAGTCCTGGAATCAGCCATTTCTTCTAGGAGTCCTGGTTTCTTTAGTAAGAGAATGGTGTTTAGAGACCAAGATCTAAGCACTGGGTATGTTTATTGCTATTAGGGTGTCATTGCTTCTAGCCTCATTCAGTGGACAGGATTAAGATAGGCATGTAATACTAACTTATGTATTCACATAACACTTGGTTTTTAATGGGCTACATAGAAAAAGATTTCTTACAATGATAAATAGACACAAATAGAAGAATTGCATGATTGGCTAAACTTTCTGAAACATCATACTTACTTTTTAGTTGGCTCTAGCAGTTATGCAAAGCTCTTTTGTTCAAATTCAGCTATTCCCTAATGTTAGTCAGTTGGATCTTGCAAATTAATGAAAAAGTGTTGCATTTTTGTATTGTGGATTCAAAACCATTGAAATTTTTAAAATAGAAGATTTTTTAAAGCTAGAAATTATCTTCCCAAGTTTTTAAAATATGCAGATATTAGAGACTTTATAGATGTCACACACTATTTTTGACAACAAAACTCTACGATTGTGGAAATATTTCCATTCATCCAGTTTCATACTGTATACTATTAATTCCATTCAGATAATACTTACTTTCTCACTCATTGTGAACATATCACCTTTATTGGAAAGTGACAGAGTAGGAGTGTTTATTGTTATATGTTTATTTATTTTTTATTGTCATAAAATATACATCACATAAAAGTTACTGTTTTAATCATTTTTTAGTGTACAGTTAGGTGGCATTAATTGTATTCACGTTGTACAGCTACCACCATCAGCCATCTTCAGAATGTTTTCATCTTGTAAACCTGAAAACCTATAGTTAAAAAATAACTTCATGTTCCTCTCTCCCCACAGACCATGGTAACCACTATTCCACTTTCTGTTTCTATGAAGTTGACTACTCTAGGTACCTAATGTAAGAAATAGAATATTAATATAATCAGAAATCTTTATTTTTTCTTCTCATATACCAATGGACCCCTGCTCTAAACAGCACAGGAAGTAGTGAGGGTTGGGGAGTCGGGGGCCTGAATCCTATCTTTTGTTTGCATGTCCTGCTCTCTCCACCCTTGACAGTTGTCTCTAACCACTCTGGGTGACAGAGTGAGTCCAGGCCCCTCTCTCCTGAGTGCTCTGCTGTCCCCCTGGTTGGCTGTGCCACTGACTCCCATTAATCACTGAAGTTAACCCCTTAATATTTCAAGCCCTCAGCCCAAGACACCTGGCTGAGAGTTCATCCATTTGCTTTATTTTCTCATAAGCAAATACAGCAGAAGGCTCCGAGGTCCTGGGGCACCTCTGTCAGGACTTAGAGTAAAAATTTGCTCAGTGAAATTGCTCTGGCCAGGAGCAGTGACTCACACCTGTAATGCCAGCACTTTGGGAGGCCAAGTGGGGTAGATTGCTTGAGACCAGGAGTTCAAGACCTGCCTGGGCAACATGGCCAAACCCCATTTTAAAATAATAATCATAATAAATTTTTAAAAAGAGAAAACAGTTGCTCCTGGGCTCAGGACCTCCTGTCATGTTGAGAAACGTTCAAAAATTGCTAAAAGTTCTTGAGATTAATTGATGTAGGTAGAAAAGTTCCTGCAGAGACCTAGGTATCAGGACTTTGGCTGTCTATACATGTGACAAAATAATTACCAGCCATTCTCACTGCTTTCTTATGAAGCTCATTAGCCATAACATATATAGAAAACTGCATGGTCTGTGTGTGCAGCTATGTATATGTGTTCAACTAGGAGTTAGAATTGGAACAGACTTGGAATTATTCTGTTGTCATCTGTCTAGACCTTCTTTTGCTTCATTCGAAAAGACAACCATAGTTAGATAGTTTAGTGCAAGTACATTTATTTAAACTGTCAGGCAACCCATTTATTCATGCTGGAGTTTCTTCAAGCACTCCTGGTGTTTTTTGTTTTGTTTTGTTTTGTTTTGTTTTGTTTTGTTTTGTGGTAGGGTCTGCCAGGACACGGATCAGCACCCATTTCCCCCCAGATCAACACTGACACTATTCTGGCTGAAAAAGATTTTTTTTAAATTTCAACTTACTCATTTGGCAGAAACACCATGCTTCCATGCCAATCAAAATAGAAAAGAGAGAAAGGGGCATATGAAAAGAAAGGAAGAACTGTTTTCTAATTAACCTAGATATACACATTAGCACTTCATTTTTTACCCCTGTAACGGCATTGTGCCCCACAAATGGATATATGGGGCTGCAACTGAAAAATGTAAACCTTTTGATATCATGAAAAAAACTGTTGAAGTGAAAGAAAGTATAAAAGAAGTTGGGATCTTCATCACTGCTCTGTCCTACAAATGTGCTCCAGTGGATTAAAGACTACATTGATGCACACAAATCTTTCTTATCAAGAACTTTTCTCAATAATAAAGCCAAATTTCCAAAACTGTTATTACCTATGTGCAAATGGTTTCCCCATGGTTTTTTCCAACAAAAGTAACCTCCAGCAATGCAAGGAATATATCACAAGTATGGACCTGCCTGCTGTTCACACATTCAGCACTGGGCCCATGTCCATGATGCACATAAACAAAGAGCTAGGAGATGGCCAAGGCAGGACAGGTGGTTTCAGGCTGGGGAGGAGGGAGTGTGCAAGGTGGGGCTTGAAAAAAGGATGGTGAAGGGAGGGCATTCAAGGCTGAAGAAATGATGCCTGTAATCTGAGTGCTTTGGGAGACCAAAGGAGGAGGATCACTTGAGCCCAGGAGTTCAAGAGCAACCTGGGCAACATAGCGACATCCCATCTCTACAAAAAAATTTTTTACATGGCCATGCATAGGGCCAGACACAGTGGCTCACTCCTATAATCCCAACACTTTTAGAGGCTGAGGCAGGTGGATCACTTGAGGTCAGGAGTTCCAGACCAGCCTGGCCAACATGGTGAAACCTCCTCTCTACTAAAAATACAAAAATTAGCCAGGCATGGTGGCTAAAGCCTGTAATCCCAGCTACTTGGGAGGCTGAGGCAGGAGAATTGCTTAAACCCGGAGGTGGAGGTTGCAGTGAGCCGAGATCATACCACTGCACTCTAGCCTGGGCGACAGAGTGAGACTCTGTCTCAAAAAAAAAAAAAAAAAAAAAAAAAGAAAAGAAATCCACCATTCTTGGCCAAAGATTGTCATGTGACCCTATTTGAGGTAGTAGGAAGCAAGGGAAGGTTTACTGGAGTCTTCAGAGAGAGCTTCTGGAAAACTCGGCTGGTATCAGCGAAATGGGAAAGCCAGGAGGAAACAGAATTGGATGAGAAAAGGTCATTTTCGATATGATGACTTTTATTCTTCCTTTCGGTAAGTGTTGGGTGTCTATCATATGCTGGACACCATGTTCCTGCTCTCGGGACACACAGACCAGTGGGGGAGACTGACATGTAAAGAGATACAATACAACCAGCAAGGGAAATGTACTGGGTTGTGTGCACAGGGTACTGTGAAAGGACCCGTAAGTGACAGGGTCAGGGAAAGCTTCTGCATCAGTTACCCCCTAAGAGGAACCCCAAAGTGGGGTGAGGTGGGAAGGGAAGAATGGGAATTGCAGGCACATGGGACTGCCCGAGCTGATGCATATGGCACCCCCCACCAGAGCCACGTAAGGAGCTGAGATGTTGAGGAGAGACTCTTACCCAAGCCTTCATCTGCAGGCACAAAGTGGAACGGGGTGAGTGGTCACCCTTGGCAATGTGACCAACATAAGTGTGTGTGCTAATACCGCTGACCCTTGAACAAGACAGGCTTGAACTGTGGAGGTCCACCTATATGTGGATTTTCTTCTGCCACTGCCACTCCTGAGACAGCAAGACCAACTCCTTGTCCTCCTCTCCTTCCTCCTCAACCTACTCAATATGAAGACGACGAGAATGAGGACCTTTATGAGGGTCCACTTCCACTTAATGAATAGTAAGTGTATTCTCTCTTCCTTATGATTTTCTTAATCACATTTTCCTTTCTCTAGCTTACTTTATTGTACAAATACAGTATGTAATACATATACAAAATATGTGTTAATAGACTTTATGTTATTGGTAAGGCTTCCATCAACTGTAGGCTATGAGTACTTAAGTTT